AGAGCTTGGATGGGAAAACTGTATCCTGACTTGTGTATGAACAGTTGCAGCATTTGGATCTTGGGATTTTATTCAAATGAAAAAGGAATTCAAAGGAAACAAAGCCTGAAATAAGGAAAAGTAACATTTTCTTTGGATTTTGGTTTCAAGCTTGCTGCGGTCTTTTGACCTGGTTTTGTTTTGAGGTCAGTGGAGAGCAACGTTGATATACAATCTTTTATTCAGAAACACTTACTCTTTCTGAAAAAGAAACTTACTGTAACAGTTACTACTGTAATTCCACCTAAAGTTCCGTTGAGTTCTTTACATCAGTTATGGAAAAATTGACCTTTCTTAGTGCAGGATCAGGTTTCTCTTTACTACTCTGAGCTATGAGAGAGCTGCAGGCTCCAAACTGCTTCTCCTGCTTCGCCTCCTGCCTTCTGCTGCCAGTTCACGCTTTGCTTACTGTCTGGAGATGTTTTTCACTTTAACTTTGGAGTGTTGCTTCTGCATCTGATTTTTGAAGAGTGTAAGAAGTGATCTTTTGAAACTAGCATGCAAAGATAATCAGCTTAATCAAACTGCTTTTTAAAAGAGATTAAGGCCTCTTCTGAGTGGGGAGACGAGGGGGGCGAATGTTGCTGTAAAGGCTTCCATGGGAAACTAAATGACGTGCCGTTAATGTATGAGTCGGTGCGGTGACAGATACTGAGAAAACTTTTTTTGATGCTTTAGACTCTGGCAGTTAATTCTGTTCTTCACTCCCAGGAGCACAAGTAGAACAGAAAATGAGAGAAGATACTGCAAACTTTAATGACACCTTGCCCTGCCCAGCCCTGGGAGTGGCTGTATTTGGGGCGGCCGTCCCCCTGCGCTCGTCCCCTCGGTGGTTTTCAGCTCAGCCACAAGCTGACCGCATCAGCCCGTGTGGCAGGGAGCTGATAGTAGCACTCTGTTCCTGTTCCTTAGCACACTAAGAATAGGGTAAAAATAGTCTTGGAGGAAAGCAAGCTAAAATCCACTAGGAAGAACATGGAAAGGAAAGAACAAGCTATAGCCGATGTGTGAGCTGAAGCAGAGCAGAAAGCAGCCGAACGGAAAGGTGATGGAATGGTGAGTGTGTGATCAAGTGGCGCAAGAGGAGGGCTGGTTACTGCAGAGCTAGGTTATGTGGGAACGGTACGATTGTGAAGGCAGAAATGTGAACAGAAATGCAGAACTTCTCATCAGAAGCTGCACTTGCATAATATTAAGGTTGTGACATGATATAACCAGTGCGGAAGTGCCCTGTTTCAGCGAAGAGGGGTGACGGTGGAAATACACGTGCCAAAGAGTCAATTGACAGAAGTTTGGTCTGGTGTGCCTGCATCTTTGAGGATAGCTCTGTCTGTGGCTAGAGAAAAATTTGGATTTGTTGTTTTCCAAAGCTGTTTCTCTCTTCTGTCCTTTCAGTTCATGCTTATCAAATCATACCTCTTGCCGAATCATACCTCCTCTGGTCCTGCTAGATAGAGCCTTTCAGCTAAGAAACTGAAGTGACAACTTCCCGGTCTCCTGGTCAAACATGTTTATTAAACTTCTCAAGAGTGTTTTTCCTAGCTCTTTGCCACTGTTTTACTTAAATAAATGTCAAGAAAAGTGTTGTCACAGACTCGCAATGTAGATTGGCGGTCACGTAGTCTGACACCCTGCTGAGAGAAGGGAACGCCTTTGATGTTGCGTTGCTCAAAGGCTGGTCAGCTCTGGAATCATAGAATCACAGAATCACAGAATGTTTGGGGTTAGAAGGGACCTGAAAAGATCATCTAGTCCATCCGCCCTGCCAGAGCAGGAGAATATCTCCAGGAATGAAAGTTCTACAACGTGGAAACCATTATTCTGCTTTTTCCCTGCAGTTCCATTACTTGTGTTTCACCGTAGCAGTGTGACTGATAGAACATCCCGCTGCTACTCTGTAGCATCTTCCAAGATGCAAAGCCTTTACTGGCCCTGTTTGACTTTTGTAGGACTTGGCGAAAGGCTCCTGATCCCTTTTTCAGCTTCTACCCTTTGCTTTCCTGCTGGTGCAGGATTTATTCTCGGTGGGTCGGACAGAAGAGCTGAGGCAAAGGAAGCGGTGGGTGCACGTTGAAGGGGAGGAGAGGCAGCAAATGTAGCTGTGCCTCCCCCCGTTCATTCACCAGTCACGCGCCACTCCTTGGGATTGCTCCTCCCTTGGAGTGACGAGTGGTTTTGGGATGGTGGTAGAAGTCATAGCAATGTTTCTTCTTACAGTGAGCTTTTTTTTTTCCCCTTTGGCACGAGTTGTTGACTTAGGAAGCAATGAGGTTGGAGGTGCTTATCTGGGGCTCGCAGCCTCGCGAGAGGAATGCTGATGAGCGTGGCGCAAAGTGTTTTCTGAGCGCTGGCACGGATAGAGCGGAATTATCAACGCTTAGGTTGGAACATTTTCCTCCTGTTTTTCAACTTCTCTGCAAAACTCTGGAGACTCGGTGGCTTCTTCCAAACCTCGTTAAATTCAATAAAAAGCTTGTTGCAGGCTTTCTGAAGGTTTTTGTTTGTTTTGTTTTGTTTTCTCTGACCTAAACCACATAAGCTTACCTCCTGCTACCCTCAATGTGTACCTTGCCTTTTTAAAAGCAAGGACACGGCCAGAAAAACTGTCTCTGAAGAGTCATTCTAGAGTTTTGTGCCTTCATAGTTGGGTTTTTTGTTTGTTTAATAAGCCTGTGAATTATTCCTGTCAAAGGTGACTTTGTACAACCAAGTGACTGGGGAGTCGAGCTTGTTGCGTGATCAAGCTGATCCCTTAAAGTGAAACTGTGTCCTTGCTCCTTCGTGTGCCGAGTTTAGTAATCAGCCCATAAAGCTGTTGGAGTTGGCGTTTGGCTTGTGGCTCGAGAGGTGTTTTAAAATAAAAATCCAAAGTTAACCTCTGCAGGGAACCAAACGTAACTTTTAGAAACTCTTGTGTAAAACTGTCAGTCATCACCAGCTGCGGTTAACAGCGGTTTTGTTAATGAGGTGTTTTCTGTTCAAGTGAAGCATCTTAATGTCACCTTTCTTTTTAAATGATAGCTGAAAGTAGATATGTATGAGACTCCCCTAAACTACGTCAACTGTGTTAGACTTTGTTTTGCTTGATGCATTTACTTTTGTTCTTCTAAAACCATTCCTTTTTACTACATCAATCCTAAAATTATATACCTCTTTTCTGTATAATGAAGGTAATTTTTTTTTACTCCCATCATAAACTGTGAACTAGAAGACACAATAAATACAAAATAGATACTTTTTATTCTTTTTAAATGGACCAGGATACAAAAATTATCGCTGCCTATGGCACAGCAGAGTACAAGCAAACTATTTCTAGCAACAGGATTATATGTTTGTAGAAGTTAAACTTTCCGGACACATCCAGATGCAGTGTGCTATTGGGATAGCTTCCAAGTTATTGGAAGAGCAAATCTTCTGGTGCCCTGGGTCCAAGGGAATGGGATTCCGTCAGTCTGGCTGCTCACACGCTTTAGGAGCTGGTGGTTTGAGCATGGCACTTCTAATTTTAGGAGTTGAGTCTTTTAGTGTAGAACTTTGTGTCCCAGCAGGCATTCACGGGCTATAGAAGACATCTCGGAATACCTGCTGAAGTGACTGCGTAGGAATGAAGCAAATTGGATATTTTCTCCGTATGTTTGTTGAGGTTCTTTTTGACAAATACGTATTTGTGACAAAACGCTTTATTTTTTGAGGAAATAACTGTTTGTACAGCACTTGGAGAGTCAAAAAGATAAGGCTTGGCAGGACTGCTGTCGTGTGAGCGTTGCTGTTCACCTGGGCTTTTTTATCCAAAAGTACTTAGGCACCAGCCCCTGTTTGGAGGACTTCAGCTGCTTACTTGGGAGGGAAGAAGCATAATTTCTAATGTAAAATGAAAAAAACTCTTATGAAGATCAGTATAGGAAACAAGCTGGATTTTCTATAAAAGAGCTCTCCTGTAGCTTTTATTGCAAAGTAATTTTTTGGTTTTGACTTCCGTGTACCAAAGACAGGTTAAAAAAAATGGAATTGCAGTGTGGCCGTGATTTCTGAGCTGTTCCTTCCCAGAACGCTTTACCCAGCACCCGTGTCCCTGTCAAAATCCAGTCGGTCCAATCAACGAGTTCCCTCTTGGGGCGTATGAAGATTTTGGTAGTTATGACTTGTGTAGCAGTTGGCTCTTTTTACTTTTTGTCTTCAGGACAAGCTAACATAACAGCTGAGCTTCTTGTAAAAGTTGCTAGCTATTTAAGAAGAGACTTTTTGGTGGTTTGTTTTTTCTTTTTCCAAATGAAGGTTCATGTTTCAAAGTACTGTCTTGTTATTTGCAGTTGCCAATGTGACGTGTTGGAAGAGTACAGTTTGAAAAGTTCTGGGACGAAGAGGACTCTTCTCTCTCATTCTTTGGTAAGCTAATTCAATTAGTTTGGTAAGACGAGCTACCTGTTGAAGGTGGACTCTACAGTTATGGAGATACTCTTAAAGCATTTTCCAGGATTTTAGACAAAAGTCAACATTTTACTGAGTTGAAATTTGCAACCTTTAATTGTAAAAACCAGACAGACTTGTGGTTCTTAGTTGTACCCAGTCCTCAGCCGTGATTGTCCATCCTGCTCCTCTTCCCGAGGAACGTGCAGGTTGTTAGCTACTTCCCCAGTCGGTATTTTGGAAAGCTATTCAGTCCCTTCTGCACATGGTGCCAGGAAAGAGGGGAAAACCTTGTTGTCGGGGATTGAAACGTGGGAAGCCAAGTGGTTATCCTTATCTCGGAGTAACTTCCTTCCACCTGCGAAAGGGGGAGAAGTGCTTTCGTTTTGTAACAGAGGCACCTTGTGCTAAAGCTGGATCGCACTCTTGAGTATTATGTTCGCGCTTTCTAATGCCTCTTTGTTAAAACCTTTGCATTCCTGTCTAAAACTTACAGAGCAGCTGTGGCACAGTGTGAAGGTAACTGTGTTTTGAACCGAGGGGCAACTTCATTTCATTTTGACACTAGAATAAATGGAATTCGTGATCTGCACAGAGAAGGCAGGGGGACAAAGTGAAATGCTTGGGTACTTTTTTCTTTTTCCCCTCCAGTTTTTCTTTTTCCTTCCTCTACGTCCCATATTTAAATATATGTGAATTTAAATGATCCTTTATTTAAATAATGTTTTTTGTTTAGAGTCATGGACAAACAGATGGTTGTTGCTAGTCTTAATTATGTACATAACTTAGACCAGAAGGCACATCTGAAACAAGAGGTAATTAAGATGTTTCCATACTGGCTGAACATAGTCTGAGGTTACAACCTGTACTAATCATTTATCCTTTCAAGCAGAACATAAGGATGGAGAATTAACAAGACTACTCACTTTTTTTTTTTTGGTGTAATTTAATATATATGAAATTAGAGTTGAAAGGGCAGCACAGTAAATTGATAACATAACCTTTTTTGGCCTCTGTCCTGACCAAAAAAAAAATACTTCTAACAACAAAATCCAACTTTGACTGCACTATGTATAAACTATCTCTGATTTATATGTGATCTGTGTATGTCAGCCTGTATTTGAGGGTGCTTTTAATGAAAGTTTCTCTCTCGGTCACTTATTTTCTGAGCTGTACTTGAACATCTCCATTTCACTTCTGGGAAGTGGCTTTTACTGTCATGGAAGAGCTGATTATTTGCCAGCTGCGGTTAAACAAAATGAGAATGCTGATTCTGTTCTGCAGCTAATTAAAAAAAAAAATTGGAGTGTGGGTCAAGTTGAGGATATATTTCTTCATCCAGTTTGCACTAGTCTCACTTTGTACCAAGCCATCTGCGGAGTAGCACAGTGCGATACTTGTGAGGGGTAAAATTCAACAGAGAGGCTTCCTGGAGTTGAGAATATGAAGAATCCTAGAACAATTCAGGTTGGAAAAGCCCCTTGGGATCATCTAGTCCAACCACTGACCCTACACTACAAGTTCACCCCTAAACCATCTCACCCAACACCACATCTCAGCGACACTTGAACACATCCAGGGATGGCGACTCAACCCCCTCCCTAGGGAGTCTGTGCCAGGGTCTGACCCCTCTTTCCATGAAGAATTTCTTCCTAATGTCCAGCCTAAACCTGCCCTGTTGCAACTTGCAACCATTCCCCCTGGTTCTGTCGCTAATTCCCTGTGAGAAGAGACCAGCACCAACCTCTCTACAATGTCCTTTCAAGTAACTGTAGAGCATGATGAGGTCCCCCCTCAGCCTCCTCTTCGTCAAACTGAACAGACCCAGCTCCCTCTCTCGTAGAGAAGGAAATAGAGACTGGAAATGTGGTTTCTGAGTTAGTTCACACACTCTGGGTCCGGGCTGCTGCTGAGCTCGGGCTGTGGGCCCTGTCCCAGAGCTGTAGCTCCCTTGTGCTCAATCTGGTGACTGTAAGATTGTGAAAGGGAGTAGGATCAGCTTGTTGACATGATGGAAATTAATTATTCCTTCCAATACATTCACTGTCCATCAGATCATCATGGCTAGGCTTCGTGTCATCTGATCCATCACATCACTGACCTTCATTCAAACAATCAAGTATTTTTTGCTATTTTTGCCAACAGTTTTAGCAGTGTTTTTGTGTGAAGCTATTCCCTAATACCTAGCAGCAGCGTGAGCGTGCAGGCTATTTGTTTCAGAACCAGTCTTCTAAGTTCTCGTACCATTTTGTCTTGGCAGCATCAGTTTATGTCTGACAATCCCAATTAAAACTGCAACCGCTGTATTTTTTAAAAAGGCAGAGTCTCACGTTCGCGTAAAAAGCCGCAGTGTTATAATAAAAGCTGGTTTGCAGCTGAATGCAGCAGTTGGAGCAAAAAAACTTGTTCTGCAGTAATTTGGATACTGGGTTTTAGGAGCGCAGCTGTAAGAAATTTTAAAGACCTAATTTTCTGAGCTAATACTGTTTTTATTAATATGTAGGTGGTTATATAGCAATCTTTAAAAGCAAATATATCTGATCAGCCTGAAGTACAAAAGAGCGATTTTGTTATAGCACAGTGCCTAGTACATTAAAACTCTTCATCACTGATGCTAAGCATGCTATAGGTTTGTAATAAAGCTCATCTTTTTAATTACGTCGGTGTTTCTTTGATAATTGTGCTTGAAGCTGAAGGGATTTTAGTGGGTTTTTTTATTCAGCATGCTCTGCTATTACTGTTAAAAGTTTTATTGGTACCCAAAGCATCTAGATAAATTGGCCTGAAAATGTTTGGTCTTAAGGATTTCTGACAGTGGCTGCTCTTCCGGGGGAGACGGATCGGTGCTGGTGAGAAGGTGCTCGGTTGCAGTCACACCAGCAGCCCGCAGGTGTCTTCCTCAAAAGCGTTCGTGTAAATACACCCTAACTCTTTGTTGCTCTTCTGGCTGGCTGTAGACCTGATCACAGAATCATGGAATGTCTTAGGTGGGAAGGGACCTTAGAGATCATCCAGTCCAACCCCTGCCGTGGGCAGGGACGCCCGTACCCAGCCCAGGTTGCTCCCGGCCTCATCCAACCTGGCCTTGAACATCTCCAGGGAGGGGGCAGCCACAGCCTCTCTGGGCAATCTGTTCCCTCACACTGAAGAATTTCTTCCTAAGATCCAATCTAAACCCGTTCTCCTTCCATTTAAATCCATTTCCCCTTGTCCTGTCGCTGGACACTCCTGTACAAAGTCCCTCCCATCCTCCCTGTGGGTCCCTTCAGGCACTGCAGCAGGGATAAGGTGCCCCCGGAGTCTTCTCTTCTCCAGCTGAACAGCCCCAGCTCCCTCAGCCTGTCCTCGCAGCAGAGCTGCTCCAGCCCCTGGGTCAGCTCTGTGGCCTCCTCTGAACCTGTTCCAACAGACCCACGTCCCTCTTATGGTGGGGACACCAGAACTGGACACAGTGTTCGAGGTGGGGTCTCACAAGAGCAGAATAAAAGGGGAAGAATCCCCTCTCTCAGCCTGATAACCAGACATGTACGTGAACGCTGTGCAGTGGAAGAGGAGATCTGTGTAAACCTTAGGGATTTTAAACCCGTCTTTCCCTGAATCATTAGTCTTCGTTATAGCAGGACATCCTGCAAAGTTAATGCAGTCGGCGCCTCTCCTGATGGATGAGCTGCACGATAGAGGTCGATTGGATAAATGAGCCTGTTGCTCAGCCAGCCGTTGTCTGAGCCTTGATTGAGCAGGAGGCTCCTCTTTCCAATCGTGTAGATCAGGGAGAATGGTGCAACATGTCGTCTGGAAAACAGAACCAGGGGTTCCAAGCTGAA